CCCCCGACAGTTATGGTGTTCCCCCCCCAGACGGTTATGGTGTTTGGGGCTGCCTAGACAGAGCCCCACGGGGAGGTCCAGAGTTGCTGTGAGGGTAGGAAGTACAAGTGCATTTGGGAAGCATTGTGGCAAGTGGGGAAAGTGGAAAGGGAGCTAAAGCCAACAGCCTCCAGCCCTCAGTCTCCCCAGGTGGTGCTTCATACAAGTAGCAGCAAGGCCTGACCCTGCTTGGTGGTCCTTGGCTGCTGAAATGGACCCCACGTGGAGATCTGGGCTGCAGTGGGGGGTGCATGAGGAGGAAAAAGAAGGGGCCAGAGAGTCAGGGGTCAGTTGGGAAGCATTGTGACAAGCAGAAGAATGTGGGAAGGGAGCAGGAGGGCCCCAGCCAGTCCCAGCCTGCTGAGCTCTGTTCTGGGTGACCTCAAGCTGATATTGTGCCTGGGAGATTCCACGATGAATCCCCACTGGGAGGTCCCTGTGGGAGTAGGCGGGATGGAAAGGTAGGGTCAGAGTTAGCCAGTCTTTTGGAAGCGCTTTGACCAGCAAAAAATCCGGGAGGGAGGGAGAAGCTGAAAGCCTCTAGCCCCTGGTCTCCCCAAGGAGCCCGCCATTCAAACCCCACCCTGGCCCGACCCTGCTTCACCTCTCAGTTGGGGCGCCTTCAGGGACGCGGGCGTGCACAGGTGGGAAAGAGATAGCCAGAATGTCAGGGGGTGGTTGAGAAGTTTTGCAAGAAACAGGAGAAACTGAAAAGGGAACCGGATGCCCAAATCCTCCAGCCCCCATGTTTCCAGGCTGTCCCCCATCCAAGCCCAAGCCAGACCGGACCCTGCTTACCTTCCCAGCTGAAGTGCCTTCAGGCTGTGAATGAGTTCCATGACTTCAAAGACAAACCCCTTCAGGGGGGTCCCTGGACAAGGCAGGGACCCAGGCAGGTGGAAAACAGCTGGCCAGAGAGTTGGGGTTCATTGAGAAAGCATTGTGACAACCAGGGGAAAGTGAAAAGGGGGGTACTCCAGCCCCCCATCTTTCAAGGCAACCCCCCATCCAAGCCCCCACCAGGCTCAACCCTACTTAGCATCCATGCTGGGGCCCTCTCAGGGTGCCATGGCACCCAAGGGCCATCAGGCAGACATCCACAAGTATGTCTCCGGCTGCTGTGGTGGTGCTCTTGGGTGGAGAAGTAGCATCCAGTGAGTCTCGGTTCAGTTGGGCAGCATTGGGACAAGGGACAAGCACTGGGAGTCGGTCTGTGATTGGAAAGGACTGTTGCTAATTCTGCTCCTAATTGTCTTGTGCTATTTGTTAATCCTAAAAGGCAAAGCTGGAATAAAAGCAAGGACCCCCCTCACCTGACTGACCCACGGCTGAAGGACTCAGTGGGTGGAAGGCAGCAAAGCCTGCTACTGTTGAAAAGAAAAAGGGGGAGATAGTGATGTTCACTTGGGGTGGCTGGCAAAACATTAAACATTAGGAAAAGTTGTAGATTGTAATCTTAAAACTTTTGGAAGGCCAAAAATTTTACTGAGGCATGCTGAAGGCAGCCACCTCAAGGTCACCCTAGAGAGAGACACCCATGGAAATGTCCTTGTCCTTGGCGGGGGCCCAGGCAGGTGGGAACGTGAAATAGCCAGACTGTTGGGAGGGGTTTGAAAAGCACTGTGACAGCTAGGGGACACTGGAAGGAATCGGGAAGCCAAAGCCACCAGCTCCTGTCTCCCCAGGCAGTCCCTTATCCAAGACCCAGCCAGACCCGATCCTGTTTAACTTCCAGGCTGCATCCCCTGGGGGCTGCCGAGAGAAACCCTCACAGGGATGACACGGGTCTCAGTGGGGAGGTAGACAGCCAGGAAAGGGGGGACAGAGAGTCAAGTGGTGGTCAGGAAGTGTTGTGACAAGCAGGGGAAAACTTGAAGAAGGCAAAAAGTGAAGCCTCCAGCCCCCGGTCTTTCCAGGTGCTCAGGCGGTTCCCCATATGAGCCCAAGCAAGGCCTGATGCTCTGCTTAGCTTCCAGGGTGAGGTGCCCTCAGGCTGCGATGGCGTTCAGTGACTTCAGAGACAGACCCCTCAGGGAGGTCCTGGGCCACGGCAGGGTCTCAGGCAGGGAAAAGGCCTGGGCAGAGAGTTGGGGGTGTGTGGAAAGCCTTACTATCGGGGGAAATCGGGAAGGGAGCAATAAGCCAAAAGCCTTTGTCCCCCTGTACCCCCAGTCAGTCCCACATCCAATCCCCAGCCAGGTGTGACGCTGCTCAGCTCCCGGGCTGGAGCACCCTCAGGTTGCTATGACACCTGGTGTCTACAGGGACAGATTTTTACCAGGAGGTCCTAGGCTGCCATGGGCTTGCAGGCTGATGGAAAACTGGGAGCAGTTGGGAAGCGTTGCAACAAGCAAAGAAAAGCTAAAAGCCTGCAGTGCCCAGTCTCTAGGCAGCCCCCATACAAGCTCCAGCCAGGCTTGACCCTTCTTAGCTTCCATGCTTTGGCCCCCTCAGGGTGCTATAATGCCTGAGGGCTGCTGGGCAGACCCCCAAAAGAATGTACAGGGCTTCCATGGGGGCGAAGGCAGGCAGAAAAAAGTAGGGGGAGGCAGTGAGTCAGGGGCGGTTGGGGAGCATTGGGACAAGCAGGGAAACAGAAGGGGAAAGTCAAAAGCCTCCACCCCTTGTTGTTCCCAGGTGGCCCCCCCATCCAAGCTCCAGGCAAGTCTGACCCTGCTTAGCTTCTGGGCTGGGGTGCCCTCAAACTGCTATGGTGCCAGAGTGTTGATATTTACTTGGGTGGCTGACAGAACATTAAATATTAGGAAAAATTATAGATTGTGATCTCAAACCTTTCGGAAGGCCAAAAGGTTTTACTGAGGCAAGCTGAATGCAGCGGCCTCGTTGACATCAGCATAGGAAAGAGAGACAATCAAAGAGCTTCTGAATTTAATTCCATTTACCCCACATTTCTTTGTCAGCACTCTGTTAACACGTGTAAATTTTGTGCTGAGTGGCCCTGCCAGGAGATCAAAGGGAACTTACCTGTTAATAGTGTTTAGGCCCTGGCACCGAAGGCACCGAAAGATTTATCAGTCGTAAAACCATTCTTTTAACCAGTTAATTATCCACAAGTATGTTAACTTAGAGCCTCTGTTGTAAAATCTACGGGAATCGGAGGGTGGATGAACAGAGGGTCTTGGTGAGTTGGATGCGTTTCACCTTCTGAAAGTAGCCAATGGCCATCCCTAGCTTACAGAAATCACTGTCATGATGCGAGTGCACTCATCCGTCGTTCCGTCAGGGTCTGCAGCCCAGATGTCCAAAGGCGGTACTTGAATCTCACCGGGGGGCTTCTGAGACGGACACCCATGAAAAAGTCCCTGTTCTTGGTGGGGGTGCAGGCAAGCACAACCAGAAATACAAAGCCAGAGCGTCAGGGGCCATGGATTCTTGTCCTGGTACAACTGTTTTTCCCTTAAATCATGCTCTGTGCTGTGTCTGCTCTAGGCATTCCTCCAACTTTATTTATTTTTTTCTTTTTTTAAGACTAGTCAAGTGCAGTAGTGAGAAGGGGGAAAGAGTAGAGCAAGGAATTCGATCTGTAACTGACTGTGAACAATCAACTGAGATAACTCACTACCTTCGGACCAGCCATTCCTCCAACTATAAGCTGATTATTCCTTAATTCATGCTATGTACTGTATCAACTCTAGGCATTCCTCTCATTATAAACTAAGATATAGTTTCATATATACGCATAAAACTGAGTGGTAAGATATTCTTCAGGCACTCACTCTATGAACTAATACATGATTACATATACAGGATTGTATAAAGGGAAATAAGTGAGTAGTAACACTATAAACTGAGATAATCTCCAAGCCCTAATTCTATAATATATGATTATATAAAGGATTATATAAAAGGAAATAACAGCACTAACACTATAAACTGAGATATTCTCCAGGTCTTAATTGTGCCAGGATTCTGCTTAGCTCTCTTTCCTCTGTACATATATGGAGGGTTACCCACACAGGAGAATTCCTTGAAACCAGGAGGCAGAGGTTGCAGTGAGCTGGTATCAGACCACTGCACTCCAGCCTGGCCAACAGGCAAGATCCCGTCTCAAAAACAAGAAACAAAGAAAAACAAAATGCCTGGGACTGGCAGGGTGCAGTGGCTCACACCTGTAATCTCAGCACTTTGGAAATCCAAGGCAGGTGGATGGATCACTGAGGTCAAGAATTTGAGACCAGCCTGACCAACATGGAGAAACCACATCTATACTGAAAATACAAAAATCAGCCATGCGTGGTGGTGCACGCCTGTAATCCCAACTACTCTGAAGGCTGAGGCAAGAGAATCGCATGACCCCAGCAGGTAGAGGTTGCAGTGAGCTGAGATTGCACTACTGCGCTCCAGCCAGGGCAACAGAGCAAGACTCTGTCTCAACAAAAAAAAAAAAAAAAAAGAAAAAGAAAAAGAAACTGAAAAGACAACCACAGAAAGGAAGAGAATATTTGTGCATTATACGTCCAACAGCAACAGTCTGTTAACCACGAAGTATAATTTGGATCACTCAACAACAAAAACAACAAATTTGTAAAATGGAGAAACAGTTGAACACACACTTCGCCAATAAGACATGCAGTTGGAAAACAAGCACATAGAAAGATGATCAATACCATCATCACTATAGCCATCTAAACTGAAACCACAATGACATACTCCTTCACACACACTAGAAAGGTTAAGATTCAAGAGATGCAAAATGACAAGTGTTAGCAAGGTGGGAGAGAAATTACAACCCTTAAATACTTTATATCAAATATAAGATGGTGTAGCCTATTTTTAATGTAGTTTGGTACCTCCTCAAAAAGTTAAAAATAGGCCAGGCATAGCAGCGAATGCCTGTAATCCCAGCACATTGGGAAGCCGACACAGGTGGATTACTTCAGTCCAGGAGTTCAAGACCAGCCAGTACGACATAGCGGAACCCCACCTCTACTAGAAATACAAAAATTAGCCAGGCATGGTGGGACAAACCTTTAGTCCCAGCTACTTGTGAGGCTGAGGCGGGAGGATTGCTTCAGCCCAGAATGTGTAGGTTGCAGGAAGCCAAGATTGCACCACTGCACTCCATGCTGGGCAACAGCACAACACCCTGTCTCAAAAAAGAGAGGTCAGGCATAGTGGCTAACGCCTGCAATCCCAGCACTTTAGGAGGCCAAAGGCGAATGGATCACTTGAGGTCAGGAATCAAGACCAGCTTGGCCAGCATATTCAAACCCCGTCTCTACTAAAAATATAAAAATTACCCAAGGATGGTGGAATGCACCTGTAATCCTAGCTACTTGGGAGGCTGAGGCAGGTGAATTGCTTGAACCCAGAAGGCGGAGGTTGCAGTGAGCCGGTATCAGGCAACTGCACTCCAGCCTGGCTGACAGAGCAAGATCCAATTTCAAAAAAAAAAAAAAGAAAAACAAAATGCCTGTGAGTGGCGGGGTACAGTGGCTCACACCTGTAATCCCAGCACTTTGGGAGACCAAGGTGGGTGGATCACCTGAGTTCAGGAGTTCGAGACCAGCCTGATCAACATGGAAAAATCCCGTCTCTACTAAAAACACAAAAATTAGCCGGGCATCTTGGGACACACCTGTAATCCCAGCCATTCAGGAGCCCAAGGCCAGAGAATCCCTTGAACCCGTGAGGTGGAGGCTGCAGTGTGCCAAGATTGCACTATAGCACTGGGCAACAAAGCAAGACTCCACCTCAAAAAACAAACAAACAAAAATAGCTAGGCATGGTAGCAAGAGCTTCTAATCTCAGCTACTTGGGAGGTTCATACAGGAGAATCTTTTGAACCCAGGAGGTGGAGGTTGCAGTGAGCCAAGATCACGCCACTGCACTTCAGCCTGGGTGACAGAACAAGACTGGGTCTCAAAAAAAAAAGAAAGAAAAAAAAAAAAAAAAAAAAAAAAAAAAAAAAAAAAAACACATAGAATGGAAGAAAATATTTGTGCATTATATAACAGTCTGTTAACTACAATGTATAATTTGGATAACTCAAGAACAAAAACCACAAAATTACAAAATGGAGAAACAGTTGCACACCCACTTTGCCAATAAACCATACAAACTGAAAGCAGGCACATAAAAAGATGATCAATACCATTATCATTATGGTCATCTAAATGGAAACAACGAAGACACACACTAGAAACACTGTGATGTAAGAAATGTAAAGTTAATAAGTGTTTCAAGGTCGCAGAGAAATGACGACCTTGAAATACTGTATGTGGAACATAAAACGGTGCAGCCTACTTTTAACATAGTTTGGTATTCTCTCAAAAAGTTAAAAATAGGCTGCACATGCTAGCTAAGGCCTTTAATCCTAGCATATTCAGAGGCCAAGGCAGGTGGA